AAATTGGGGCATGTTTGAGAGTTAAAGTAGATATTATTAATAATTATGCTGGGATAAAAGGCATAAACCAAGACTGTCATGGGCAGAATTAAACACACACACACATACACACGTATTGATGGGTGTGGTCCTATTTGCCTTCCCATACCTGTTCAGCTTGTGTGTCTGTCTATATATTCTCTCCTGTTACTGTTTTTATGATATCAATATGCAGGATTGTGTATGTAATGGTATTTACCTTTGTTGCCTCTAACTCTTGGGTACCTCCCAATATCTTCCTTTGCCTTATTTTGTGCTCATCTCCCCCTTATTATGTGTTGCCTTTCCCTTCACCCAAGTTAACACATGACTACCCTCTCATTAGTTATTTACAGTCCCTTCCTCACTCACCCATGGAATCTTCAAAGATTGTTTCTTTCTGTGTATAGACCTTTTCTTGACTTTTTACAGTAGTAGTCTCCTAGAATATTTGTCTTTTTGTGATTGACTAATTTCACTTAGCATAATGCCCTCTAGGTTCATCCATGTTGTGTTAGACTGGGTTCTCCAGAGAAACAAAACCAGTAAAGCTTAGAGAGAGAGAGAAATTTATCTTAGGAAAATAGCTCACACACTTACAGAAGCTGGCAAGTCCAAAGTTCCTGGACCAAACTTCAAGCTGGAGGCTTTTCCCGACTCTTGCAACCTCAGGGGCTGTGGAGCTAAAGGCTGGCAGGCAGTACACCGGCTATTGACTCCAATGAATGGCGAATCCAAGATCTCCAGGCTGAGTGGTGGGCTGTTCACTTATGGACGGTTTTAGGCAGCACAACAGAATTCCGATCCATAGAAGAATGTCTCTTTTCCCAGATGTCCTTGGATTTACTGGAAGCAGGCCACACCCCTAGGGAAACTCCCTTTCAACACACTGCCTGCTTAAACATAATCATCTGATCCCATCATGGGAATAACCACATCACAACAACTTAAACCACACAGAATTGTGGTCCAGCCAGGTTAACACACAGCCCCAACTATCACAGTCTACCCCTTATCAACTTGGCAGTTGTACACATCTTCTTAACCATATATAATCTCTAAATAAGGACAATTATAAAGTCATATTTGCATCTAACATGATATGCTAACACACGTACAACCAAAGTGCATTAACCTTGTTTACATTTCACAGTTCATAACAGAAGGAAACAAAAATTTGATGTACATATACAATGAAGAAATATAACAATCACAGTCCTCGTTTCTAGAGCTGGTAACGTGGTCATAGCTGATATCCAGAACTACCTTATTCTACCACCCACTCTGTATTTCCCTTGCCCTCAGCAAGCACCTCAGCTGGTCATGGTTCTTTGCCTGGTGGAGTGACCCAAACCTTCATTCTTGAAGGGTCTGGACCCTTAGCAGTCGTATCAGAATTGGGTTGCTGTAATTTTCCATTGACTTTAATCACAGGGCATGGTAGTACTAAGAGACATCCTAAAGAATCTCCTGTATTCCAGACATATTCTTCTTTACCTCCATTATGTAAAGCCAACCCAATTTCCCCTTGGTAATCAGGATCTATCACACTAGATA